AACTTTTGGCAGGATTGTACATGAAGGACAACTCGGAGGAGGCTGGACGCCATCAAAGGAAGAGACCATTGCACAGGAGGGGGGGGTGGGGGGGGGGTTAAACCCGAGTGCAAAACGACTCAGTTCTCAGGAGAAAATGGCACAAATCGTGGTTCAGGTTCAGAGTCAGTGGGCGAGTGTCGGTGGGGGGTCGATCCAAAAATGGGGTAAAAAAAAGGGTCGTCCGAAGTTATTAAGTCACCCAAAGTGCTCTTTTCTGCTCCGTAAAATGGCTTTTTCCAGTCAGAGATGGCTCAGACGGAGGCTCAGTGATGAGACAGGATGGAAGGAGGTGGAGGAGAGCTAACATTTCAAAATAAAACAGGAACTATAAGAGACAAGATGAGAAGACAGAGTAAACCAAAACCCAACAGGAATCACACAGTCTGGGAATTTTCATATAGTTTTTGGTTTGTCTCCTCAGTTCCTGTATTACTTTGGAACTCTAAATTTCTTTCAGTTCGTGTTTTATTTTGGAATTCTGTCTATTTTCCAGCGTTTCCTGGTCTTGTTTTGATTTAGTTTCCTCCACGAGAGAGAATTTTCTTCTGATGAGTGTCGTAGTCTTTTGGTTTTTCCTCCTTAGTGGATTTTCTGTTGGGTTGTTTCATGGCTCCACTTTATTTTGTCTCAACTTTCATAGCTTAAATTCCCTCCCATTAGCCGAGGATCCTTTTGTCTGTAAATAACTTTCGTATCCTTCTTTTGGCTACGTTAAAGGAGTGACTTTTATAGACCCTTTGGACCTTTTTGGGGGGATTTCTGGGTTGAAGGAAGAGCTGGATCTGCTCTTCTTTGGGGAGGCCGGAGGTGGAGGTGGAGGAGCTGTGGTTGTGCTTATTAGGATCTTCCTGGTCAGGATCAGGGATCAGGGTTAGGATATTGGGACTGGTGGATAAAGACTCATGGTTCCAGAGATTCCTGGCCCTTGGTCCCGGGTCTTGCTGGGTTTAGGGTTAGGGTTAGGTTTGCTGGGTTTTGACACTTTCTGGGAGGGGACAAACCCCTTTCTGTTGGGCTGTTTCATGGCTCCACTTTCAGAAGGCATTCTAATTTTGTCTTAACTTTCATAGCTTAAATTCCCTCCCATTAGCCGAGGATTATTTTGTCTGTAAATAACTTTTGTAGCCTTCTTTTGCCTCTGTTAAAAGAGTGAGTAAAGTTTCATAGTTTAGACCCTTTGGACCTTTTTGGGGGGATTTCTGGGTTGAAGGAAGAGCTGGATTTGCTCTTCTTTGGGTGGATAAGGACTGGTGGTTCCAGATATTCTGGGTTTTTGACACTTTCACGTTCCGGGTTCACTTCCTGGGGTGGAAGACCATGAGCGGGCAGTCCTCGATCTTCTGCCAGGGGCTCTTCTTGTTCTCGTCCTGGAGGTGGAGGTGGAGGAGCTGTGGTTGTGCTTATTGAGATCTTCCTGGTCAGGATCAGGAGGCTTTACTGGTCAGTTCTCCACAGAGGTTCCGAAAAGTTGTCGTTCAGGGCAAAGCTACTTTATAAAAAGGAAAATCCCTCCTTTGATGGAGGCAAAACAAGGCTATGAAAGCTGTTTACAAACAAAAGATCGGAGGAATTTAAGCTATGAAAGTTAAGACGAAATCTAATCAAAGTCACAAAGACTATGAAACTTAACAAAACAAAACTGTGACTTACAAGACGAGACCAGGAAACCCTAAAAAAAAATGTCTGTTGGGTTGTTTCATGGCTCCACTTTCTGAAGGCATTCTAATTTTGTCTTAACTTTCATAGCTTTAATTCCCTTCGGCTAGCCGAGGATTCTTTTGTCTGTAAATAACTTTCGTAGCCTTCTTTTGCTTCCGTTAAAGGAGTGATTTTTATTTGAGTAAAGTTTAATAGTTTAGACCCTTTTGACCATTTTAGGGGGATTTCTGGGTTGAGGGAAGGGCTGGATCTGCTCTTCTTTGGGTGGATAAGGACTGGTGGTTCCAGAGATTCTGGGTTTTGACACTTTCACGTTCTGGAGCTCACTTCCTGGGGTGGAAGACCATGAGCGGCCGGTCCTCGATCTTCTGCCAGGGGCTCTTCTTGTTCTCGTCCTGGAGGTGGAGGTGGAGGAGGTTGGAGGAGGTGGTTGTGCTTATTGGGATCTTCCTGGTCAGGATCAGGAGGCTTTACTGGTCAGTTCTCCACAGAGGTTCGGAAAAGTTGTCGTTCAGCTACTTGATAAAAAGGAAAATCCCCCCTTTGATGGAGGCAAAACAAGGCTATGAAAGCTGTTTACAAACAAAAGATCAGAGGAATTTAAGCCATGAAAATTAAGACAAAATCTAATCAAAGTCACAAAGACTATGAAACTTAATAAAACAAAACTGTGACATACAAGACGAGACCAGGAAACCCTAAAAAAAAAATGTCTGTTGGGTTGTTTCATGGCTCCACTTTCTGAAGGCATTCTAATTTTGTCTTAACTTTCATAGCTAAAATTCCCTCCCATTAGCCGACGATTCTTTTGTCTGTAAATAACTTTCGTAGCCTTCTTTTGCCTCCGTTAAAGGAGTGATTTTTATTTCAATAAAGTCTCATCCTTTTGTCTGTAAATAACTTTCGTATCCTTCTTTTGCCTACGTTAAAGGGGTGATTTTTATTTCAATAAAGTCTCATCCTTTTGTCTGTAAATAACTTTCGTAGACTTCTTTTGCCTCCGTTAAAAGAGCGAGTAAAGTCTCATAGTTTAGACCCTTTGGACCTTTTTGGGGGGATTTCTGGGTTGAAGGAAGAGCTGGATCTGCTCTTCTTTGGGTGGATAAGGACTCCTGGTTCCAGAGATTCCTGCCCCTGGGTCCCGGGTCCTGCTGGGTTTAGGGCTAGGTTTAGGTTTAGGGTTAGGTTTGCTGGGTTTAGGGGTTCAGGGTTAGGTTTGCTGGGATTTGACACGTTCCCCCCCTCACTTCCTGGGGTGGAAGACCATGAGCGGCCGGTCCTCGATCTTCTGCCAGGGGCTCTTCTTGTTCTCGTCCTTGTCCTCGTCCTCGGGGCTGGTCAGGGACTCGGGCCGGTCCCCCCCCCCCCCCCCCCCCCCCCCGGGGGGGGGGGCCCCCCCCCCCCTCCCGCAGGGGGGGGGGGGAGTTCTCCTCGGGGGAGGCCGGCCGGTTCTCGCCCCCCCCGGGCTCCCCGTGGTCCTGGTATCCCAGCTTGGAGTAGCTCTTTCCCCCGAGGCCCTTTCGGCCCCCCGTCCCCCAACGCTCGTCCTTCCCCCTCCGGTTGAGCCCCGCCTTCCTTTCCTGGGACTCCAGGGGCGGTTCCAGGTTGCCGAAAACGCCGCCGAGGACCCCCCCGCCGCCCCCCCCCCCCCGATCCTCCCCGGCATCGATGTAGGAGTGCCTCACGTGGGCGTTGGCCCTCCCGTCCAGCGATATGAACCAGGCCCGCGGGTGCTGCTTCACGCCCAGCTCCAGCAGCTTCTGCTCGGTCAAAGCCTGCAGCTCGCCGTTCATCTGCGCCATGGTGGAGTCGTTGAACAGCACCGGGATGGTCACCGCCCCCCCGGGGGAGTCCGAGGACCCGTCCCCCCCCTGGGAGCACCCCTGGGAGCCCCCCTGGGGCCCCCCTAGCTGCTGTTGTTGTTGTTGGTGTTGCCCCTGGTTCTGGCCCTGCTTCTGGGCCAGTTGTTGGAGCTGGTGGTGGTGGAGGAGGTGTTGGAGGTTCTGCTGGACGCCGCCCCTCTCCGGCTGGCCGCCATCTTTGTTTTCGGCGTGGTCAGTCCCATCCTTGAAGTCGGAGGGCAGGCGCATGTAGTGGGCGGGGATGACCAGCGTGGGCACCATGCTGCGGTACATGTTCTCCTTCATCTGGTCTATGGAGCTGCAGAAGATGATCTGGCCCGGTTGGGTGTTGAGCGAAGTGGGCCTCGCCAGGCCGTCCGCCGCCGCCGCCACCGAGTACTCCGGCGGCTTGTCCGATTGGCTGGGCACGTAACCGTGGAAACGGGGAGACGGAGGGTCGGCGGAGTATCCGCGGTTGTCGCTCGCCCCGTGCAGACGCTGGAAATCCGACTCCGGGAGGAGCGGGTTGTCCAAGTTGTTGGTCGTCTCCGTGGAGCGGGTCACTTTCATGGGGAAGCTCTCCCCCCCCCCCCCCGCCGGAGCCCCCCCCCCCCCCGCTGGAGTTGGAGTTGGAGCCCCGCCCCTTGGCGTGCCGCAGCATGTGGGCGGGCACGTGCTTGGCCAGATCCTCCCGGCCGGAGGACGGGGACAGCTCAGACTTGTCCCCCGAGGGGCCCAACTCCGCGTGGCCCCCGCAGATCAGGTTCAGTCTGGAGGTGGAGGTGCCCTGGTCCCGCCGGGCCCCGCCCAGCCCGGGGGGGAGGGGCTTCCCCTGCTGCCGCCGGGGCTTCAGACACCGCCTCCTATAGGGGAAACGGGTAGGGTTGTCAAAAGTATCGATACTCGAAAAAGTATCTTGATGTACTTGATTAGCCATTAGCCGCAGCTTGCAAGGCTAACGTATTGTTAATGATCATAAACAACGTAAATAAATACATAAATAAATCAGAGAGAAGGGCATCGATACTTTTGAAAATGAGTATCATATCCGGATACAACATTTAGCATTAATGGTAGCATGCCATTCAGACACCGCCTCCTATAGGGGAAACGCACACAGACAGAGGGAGGGGGGGGAGGAGTCAGAGGGGATTAGGTAGGGGTATCGATACTCGAAAAGTATCTTGATGTACTTGATTAGCCATTTTCCGCAGGCTAACGTATTGTTAATGATCATAAACAGCGTAAATAAATACATAAATAAATCAGAGAGAAGGGTATCGATACTTTTGAAAATGAGTACCATTTACCATTAATGGTAGCCATTCAGACACCGCCTCCTATAGGGGAGACGCACACACACAGAGGGGAGGGGGGGGTCAGAGGGGGGTTCTGGGTAGGGTTGTCAAAAGTATCGATACTCGAAAAGTATCTTGATGTACTTGATTTTTCATTTCTACCTTGTATTTCCTTTCTTGTTTCTCATAGAAGTGTTGTGCACCAAACACCAAAGCAAATTCCTTGTAGGTGAAAAACCTACTTGGCAATAAACCTAATTCTGATTCTGATTCTGATTCTGATTAATGGTGGCATGTTATTATTAGCCATTAGTTATTATTAGCCATTCAAACACCGCCTCCTATAGGGGAAACGCACACACAAAAAGGGAGGGGGGGGTCAGAGGGGGGTTGTCAAAAGTATAGATACTCGAAAAAGTATCTTGATGTACTTGATTAACTCATTGGCTACCAAAGACGTCTATAGACGTCTTTTATGTTTTTCAACGAGAGTGGCTGGGGGACGATCTGCTAAAGCTTGTCCGTAAATATCGGCTTCTAGACAGAGTATGTAGTAACAAATTGACCCACTAGGGGGCAGTGCCACTTTTGATGGGAGATGAGCATAGACTGTAGGCAAATAAGAAAAAGGGAACGGTTCGCTATGAGAGAACATGTCGCCGGTGAGACGCAAGTCCATGAAGAACGGAATAAGGTAGAAACAATTTTTTTTTCCTGATGAAAGAAGAGAGTCTACTCTTTCTTTTGGTGTGTTCGATGTTTACATAGTCATAGCACAAACTATTCTGTGGCTCTTGAAAAATCAGTCAAAATGCTCAAAAAACTCTGTTTGCAGTATGGGACTCTCTGTTCTGAAAATGGCTGGCAGTCAATGAGTTAATGGTAGCATGTCATTAGCCATTAGCCGCAGCTTGCAAGGCTAACGTATTGTTATTGATCATAAACAACGTAAATAAATACATAAATAAATCGGAGAGAAGGGTATCGATACTTTTGAAAATGAGTATCGTATCCGGATACAACATTTAGCATTAATGGTAGCATGTTATTATTAGCCATTCAGGCACCGCCTCCTATAGGGGAAACGCACACACACAGAGGGAGGGGGAGGAGTCAGAGGGGGGTTCTGGGTAGGGTTGTCAAAAGTATCGATACTCGAAAAGTATAATTTTTTTTTTTTTTTTCATAGTCTGAAGTGTTTATTTAGCCCTTTGACAAAATATGACAAAAACAAATCCAAATCCTTTTTGAACATTCAAAATTTATTACCTTGCTCGAAAAGTATCTTGATGTACTTCATTAATGGTAGCATGTTATTATTAGCCATTAGGGCTAATAATAACATGCTACCATTAATGGTAAATGTTGTTAGCCTTGCAAACTGCGGCTAATGGCTAATAATAACATGCCGGGAGGAGGGGGGGGGCTTCTTTCTGTTGGGTTGTCAAAAAGTATCGATACTCTCCGGATACGATACTCATTTTCAAAAGTTTTGATACTAAAATGTTGTATCCGGATACGATACTCATTTTCAAAAGTATCGATCTATAACTTTAATCATATGTACATTCTAACAGTGAAAAACAGAATCACAAAGAAAATTCCAGAAAATCACATCATATGAATTTTTAAAAATTGATAACCATCTGATGAGGAAAAATTAAGCATTCTTTGTAAGTGGGCAAACCTGCAAAATCAGCAAGGGGTCAAATACTTATTTCCATCCATCCATCCATTATCAATACCGCTTATTCCCTCATGGGGTCGCGGGGGGAACTGGAGCCTATCCCAGTGGTCAACGGGCGAGAGGCAGGGTACACCCTGGACAGTCCCCAGTCCATCGCAGGGCCACACAGAGACACACAAGGACCAACAACCACTCACATTCACACTAAGGGCAGTTTGGAGTCCAGCAACCTAACATGCAGGTTTTTGGACGTTGGGAGGAAGCCGGAGAACCCGGAGAGAACCCACAGACACAGGAGAACATGCAGAACCACCCAGAAAGGTCCTGGTTCCCCCGGGACTCCAACCCAGAACCCTCTTGCTGGGAGGCGACAGTGCTAACCACCACACCACCGTGCCGCCCCAAATACTTATTTCCCCCACCGTATATGTATGTATTAGTACCCCACCTGCAGTAGTAGAGCAGCACGCAGAGCAGGATGAGCACCAGCAGGGCCAGAGAGCCCAGGATGGCCAGCAGGAACAGGGTGTGGTAGGTGGTGATGTCCCTCAGGCCCGGGTGGGACAGGCCGAACCCTGAAACGACAGGGGGGGGGGGGGGGGGGGTGGGGGGGGGGGTCGGATGGGGGGGGTGAGCCCTGCCTCCACCTGTGGGCCCCGGCTAGATAAGAGCCGGGGAGAGCTAAACCTGAGAGCTAAACTAAGCTAAACTTAGCTAAATACATAATCATAATCATAATACATAATAATACATAATAAGGAGAATGATGTCACACCGATTCTGACCAATCAGGACGAGCCAAAAGCCAAAGGCGGCTTTGTTTGATCAACCTTTTTTCAAAGCCAATCTGGATAAATCCCGTTTTATATCGAGCTGGCTTCCATGTTTAAACAATAAATACTTTCAGAGAGCTAAACCTGAGAGCTAAATCAATAAATAAAACCTAAAGTCCTTTTCTCCTGACATTAAATAATTTTCCTTCTTTGCACCAACATCTGGCTATTATAAAAAATTAAGGATGTCTATGTCACATTTTCTGGATTAAGCATAAGCATAAGCATTTGAGGATTTGTTTTAGACTTTTTGCATTAAAAAAACAGAAGCGAGGGGTAAATAAACTCTTTCCCAGGTTACCTGAAGAGGAGGGGAAGGCTGCCAGCCAGTATCCCATCTGAGGGACCACCACGCTCCACACAAACTGGGATCCCTCCTTACGGATGTATCCCGTCCCACTGCGGGTCCACAGGCCTGCGGGGGGGGGGACTCATCAGGAACATCCAGAAAAACCTCCAAAATACTCACTTTAGCATAGTATGCTACGCCATGATCTATGTACAGTTTTTTTTTTCTTTTATAACTATATTTTTTCTCTGGCTGTAACCACAGACTCTTTGCTCTCTTTTTTCTTTTCTCTCTTTTTCTTTCTCTGTTGCATTATATATACATCTTTGACTCAACACAAACACAAACATACACCATTTGTTACCACATTCCTGTTATGAACATGAATTAGGACCTGGCCTGTTCCTGCCCAGAGGTAACTGGCCAATAGAACTCAGTTATGTCCAGTCCTCCTGTTAGAATTTGGTTATAATTACTCACTTTAGCAAAGCATGCTAGCACATGATCTATGTACAGTATATTACTGATTGTTTTATTTTCTTTTATAACTATATTTTGTGTTGAAGTCTCTGGCTGTGTCCACAGACTCTCTTTTCTCTCTTTTTCTTTCTCTCTTTTTCTTCTGTGTTGCATTATATACACACACACACACCATTTGGTACCAAATTCCAATGTTATCTACATGAATTAGGACCTGGCCTGTTCATGCCCAGAGGTAACTGGCCAATAGGACTTGGTTGTGTCCAGTCCTCCCAGCTGATATACCTAACTGTGACCCAATAAATGTAATTTTTTATACTTTTGGTCTACTCTGGTTTATTCTCAGGTTTCCAACTAAAGAATCGGGTTAACATTTCCTTTAAAACAACCCTGAGCTGCAGCTCTCTGGCCTCTCTGAAGCTTTTCTTTGGATTTGTTCAGATTTTTATCTAATTTTCTGTCTTTTGCTCGTACATGTGGGTCCTTTATTCTAATTTAATTGGCCTGAAAAAGGCTAAATTTGGTGTGAAAGTGACCAAATATGCAGAAAAAAAGCAAAAACAGAGCTAAAAAAGACCAGAAAAGCACAAACAAGGCTTAAAATGAACTAAAAATACAGCAGTGTCGCGTCTGGGGGAATGTCTGGTGTCTCGTCTTATCTTGATTACCTATTGTGTACACCTGGGGTTCCCCTCCCTCGTGTTTAAATAGTCCTCGTTTCCCATGTCCTGGGCCAGTGTGTTTTCGTCTTTCGTCTTCGTCACTTTCCGTCTCCCCATGTCGCGTAAGGTTTTGCTTTCTGCTCCAAGCCATAGCCATGTTTTTGCCATAGCCTTGTTTAGCTAATTTGATACTTTGTTCATGTTTTTGCCACAGCAAAGTTTTCGTCATAGCCATGTCACAGTTTTGTTAATCATGATTTGATACTTTGCCACAGTCTTGTTAACTTATTGCTTTGATTCTTTGTTCATAGTTTTTCCACAGCCTTGATTTGAACTTTGTCTGCCATCCACTCCGTATGAGTGCTTTTGTTCCAATAAACCCTTGTTTCACATATCTCCGCAACTGAGTCCTCCACCAAGATCCACCCCCCCTGACAAGCAGAAAAGGGAAAAAAGGCTAAAAGGTCCAGAGCAAAAGGAAGGAAAACCCCAGATCTCAGGGCTCTTTGCCCACTGAGACCCAGAGAGAGGTTTTTGTACTTAACTGTGTCCAATAAATGTCGTTTTTTATACTCTTGATCCACTCTGGTTTATTCTCAGGTTTCCAACTAAAGAATCGGGTTAACATTTCCTTTAAAACAACCCTGAGCTGCAGCTCTCTGGCCTCTCTGAAGCTTTTCTTTGGATTATTTCAGATTTGTATCTCATATTCAAACGTTTGCTCGTACATGTGGGTCCTTAATTCTAATATAATTGTCCCGAAAAGCTATGGTGGGAATTGTTGGGTTTCTGTAATTAACTTCAGAGTAGGGTCTGAGTTTCTCTGTTTGGAAAGCTGTGATACAACTGTTGTTGTGATGTGGCGCAATGTAAATAAAATTGAATTGAATTAATTTTAATTTTGTAATGTCATTGTCTGAATGTGGGTTTGGACTGATTTAGTATTTTGTGATTATGTGTTGTTTGGTCTTCCTGCCTCAGGACGACAGATGTAAACTAGCAACTATGCTAGAATCTGGCTCATTTATTTACAATCTGTATGAGATTGTTCATTTATGTGCACTGTCCTGATTAAAGAAATAAATAAAGAAATAAAGAAATAAATCTCCCGTCAAAAGTGGCACTGCCCCCTAGAGGATCAATTTGTTACTACATACTCTGTCTAGAAGCCGATATTTACGGACAAGCTTTAGCAGATCGTCCCCCAGACACTCTCTTTAAAAACATAAAAGACGTCTATAGACGTCTTTGGCAGCCAATGAGTTAACTGTGTCCAATAAATGTCATTTTTTGTGCTTTTCTCACCCGTCTTGGGCTGGTAGAGCCAGGCCGGTACGCTGGTGGCCATCCTGTTGCGGGTGTCCGAGGGCAGCGGGACGGAGACGTGGATTGGGTCTGAGACCTGGACCGGGCTGCCGTTTCTGTCCGAGAGCTGCACGCCGACCACGGCCAGCGCCACCAGCTCCGTCCAGCCGGGGTCTGGGGGGGGGGGGGGTTAGGGAGGAAATATTAGCAAAAATATTAGCTAAGATATTAGCAAAAATATTAGCAAAAATACTAGCAAAATATTAGCAAAAATATTAACAAAAATATTAGCTAAGATATTAGCTAACAAATAAATAAACTGGTAAAAGCTGGGAGAATATTTCTAAATGTCTCACTTTTACTGTAAAGCAGGAGAGTAGGGAGAAAAAGGGGCAAAAATATTAGTAAAAATATTTAAAAAAATATTAGCAAAAATACTAGCAAAAATATTAGCAAAAAAACAAAAACTGGTAAAAGCTGTGAGAATATTTCTAAATGTCTCACTTTTACTGTAAAGTAGGAGAGTAGGGACAAAAACGGGCAAAAATATTAACATAAATATTAGCGAAAACATTAGCAAAAATACTAGCAAAAATACTAGCAAAAATATTAGCAAAAATATTAACAAAAATTTTAGCAAAAATATTTACAAAAATTTTAGCAAAAATATTTACAAAAATATTAGCAAAAATATTAGCAAAAATATTAACAAAAATTTTAGCAAAAATATTAGCAAAAATATTAACAAAAATATTAACAAAGATTTTAGCAAAGATATTAACAAAAATATTAGCAAAAATATTAACAAAAATATTAGCAAAAATATTAGCAAAAATACTAGCAAAAATACTAGCAAAAATATTAGCAAAAATATTAGCAAAAATATTAGCTAACAAAACAAAACTAACAAAACAAAAAAAATCACAGTACACATACAGCCGGGGTCTGCTCCTGAGGGGGGGGGGGGGGGGGGGGGGAAAAAG